TTGCATTTGTGGATGAGCTTGACTGAGGTAGCAAACCTCTAAGCTCTTCTGCTGATTAGGAGTCTGTGAACTTACCACCTCACTGCTGAATATCCACTAACAGTTCTGACAGAGACTCAGAATTTACTACAAAGAATTTCTCTGACAGGAAAAACACAAATTCACTTGAAATGCAAAAGTTATCCTAATATTGATTTCAGAATAAATTTTCAACATGGAGTTTTATATGAAGGTTAATCTTGTCACATAGTTGTAAATGTTTTCAACTATCATTTCCCAGAATATAGATGAATGTTTCATAAATAAATGTCTCCTATTATCCATCTATAAAAATCAGAGACAGTTCAAAAAAAGCCTTAGCTTTTTTTGCTAGCTGGCAAAGCAGCTAATTATATAAAAGAGAAAGTCAATTTACCAAGAAATTGCAATAACTGCAACAATTATGCACAAGAGAAAGAGAGAGAGAAAGTCCCGCTGGTGAAGTGGGTAAGCCCTGTACTGAAAACTGAAAGGTTGGTTATTTGAACTCACTAATCACTCTACAAAGAATACGTATAGTAGAGTTGGAATTGCAGTCTTGGAAAACCTATGAGGTAGTCCTACTCTGTCCTATAGAGTTGCTATGAGATGGTGTGGAGCCCTAGGATCAGCATTCAACCTCAAGGTTGGTTTGAACTGCCAGGTCGGTAGTTCAAACTCACCAGCCGCTCCTTGGAAACCCTATACAGGGTCGCTGTGAGTTGGAACTGACTCGACAGCATACAAAAATCATCTGCACTCTGACTGTAGACTTTATTTTAGTCAATTTTTAAAAAAGACAAAAACATCATTTTTCAACACAATCTCCTTGCTTTTCAATACACTCTGTCCATCTGTCAAAAAGATTTCATATTACCTTATTTTAAAATGTTTTAGGCTGAGCTGCAAGCCACAAATGCACTGCTGTCTTCACTTCTTCATCAGAGGTGTAGCTTCATCCTCAAAGGGCTGCTTTCAGGCAACCAAACAGGTGAAAGTATGATAAAAATCAAGACTATAGGGAGGGTGTTTTAACAGCTCAAAACAAATTTTTTGTAGAGTGTCAACAGTGTGGCTAGAGGTGTGGAACATGCATTTTTGTGCAAGACTTTAAAGCACTTGTAAAGCAATCGGGCATAGACTAGTTTAAAGGAAAAATGAAACACTGTAACTGGTCTTGAGCTCCTTATGTCATGTTGTAGGATCAGCACTGGACTGTAAACTACTAGGTCAGCAGTTCAAACTGACTAATTACTCCTTGGAAACCCTATACAGGGTCACTATGAGTCGGAAACTGCTATATGACACTTAACAACATAACTGGCCTTTGTAAGAAATCACTCAATTGTGAGACTAGATGTATAAGAGCCTGCTTGTTGTTGTTGTTGTTAGGTGCCATCAAGTCAGTAACTATTAATAGCAACCCTATGCACAACAGAAAGAAAAACTGCCTGGTTTTGGGCCAACTTCACAACCATTGCTATGCCTGAATCCATTGTTGCTGCCACTATGCCAATCCGTATCTTTGGGGATCTTCCTCTTTTTCTCCAACCCTCCACTTCACCAAACATAATATCCCTCTTCAGGGTTTGGTCCCCTCTGATAATATGTCTGAAGTTTGAGAGAGTCTGGCCATGATGGCTTCCAAGGAGCACTCTGGCTGCACTTTTTCCAATAAAGATTTGTTTGTTCTTTTGGCAGTCCATGGTACTTTCAAAATTCTCCTCCAACACCATAACCCAAATGCATCAATTCTTCTACATTCTTCCTTATTCACTGTCCAAACTTTGGATTCATAAGAGACTATTGAAAATACCATGGCTTGGATCAGGCACACCTTAGTCCTCAAACTGACATCTTTCCTCTTCAATACTTTAAAGAGGTCTTGTACAGCAGATTTGGATAATATAATATGTCATTTTGGTTTCTTCACTGCTGCTTCCATGAGTATTGATCGTTAATCCAAGCAAAATGAAATCTTTAACACCTTAAATTTCTTCTCCATTTATATGGATGTTGTTTATTGGTCCAGTGGTGAGGATTTTTGTTTTCTTTACATTGAGGTGCAAGCCATAGAATCCTTCAAGACCGAAAGATGAGGCTTAATTTTTTCTTCAGCTCCCTCAGCTTGAGAAATGCTGAGTGAGTTACTCACTTTTTGTTTTCTAAATCCAGGTTTTTGCACATTTTGTTGTAATATTTGACTTTGTCTTCTTGACCTGAACTTTGAAACTTTCTGTCCAGCTCTTGTACTTTCTCACATCTTCCATTTGCATGTTTCAGAGTCTTTTCTGACATCCATTTGGTCTTTTCCTTCTTTCTTGTATTTCCTGTATGATGTTCTTGATGCCATCCCACAACTCTTCTGGTCTTTGGTCTTTAGTGTCTAACGCATCAAATCTGTTCTTCAGATGATCTCTAAATTCAGGTGGGATATATTCAAAGTCATATTTTGACTCTCATGGTCTTGCTTTAATTTTCTTAAGCTTCAGCCTGAATTTGCATGTAAGCAATTGATCATCTGTTCTACAGTCTGCTCCTGACCTTGTTGTGGATGATGATACAGAGTTTTCCCACTGTCCCTTTCCACAGATGTAGTCAATTTGATTTCTGTGTGTTCCAACTGGTGAGGTCCATGTGTATAGTTATCTTTGATGTTGTTAACAAAGATATTTGCAATGAAGTCATGGGTCTTGCCAAATTTTGTCATGTAATCTCCAGGATCATTTCTATCACCAAGACAATATTTTCCAACCACTGGTCCTTCCTTTTTGTTTCAACCTTTACATTCCAGTCGCCATTCATTATCAATACATCTTGATTGCATGTTTGATCAATTTCAGACTGAGTTGTTAAGTACTGTGAGTGGATTCTGAGTCATAATGGCCCTGTATAGGGTTTCTGAGGAGCAGGTGGTAGGTTTGAACCATCAACCTTATGATACAAAACTGACTTTCAGTTTGAGAACTTCTTGTATGGTGCCAGACGAGGACTCCAAACTGATAGAATTCTTCAATTTCATCATCACTGGCTTTAGTGTTTGGTGCATAATTTTGAATAATAGTGGTACTAACTTGTCGTTCCTGTAAATGTATAGGTATTATCCTATCACAGAACAGCATTGCACTTCAATACAGATCTTGATATATTTATTCTTTTTGATGATGAATGTGATGCCATTCCTCTTCAATTTGTCATTCTACCACATAGTAAAGCGTGTGATTGTCAGATTCAAGATAACCAATACTAATACTTCTCAGCTCACTAATACGTAGAATATCGATGTTTATGTATTCCATTTTGACAACTTCTCATTTTTCTAGATTCATTCTTTTCATATTCCATATTCCTATTATTAATGGACTTGACGACACTTCACAAAAACAGCAACATACTTAATGTATGTTTCCAGGTGTTTCTCTTCATTTTTAGTTGTTCCCCATCAGTGAATTAAGGTCCCAAGGGCTTTTCTGCATTTGCGTCTACTCTACTTTGAGGAAGCTGTTCTTCCCAGTCTCATCTTGAGTGCCTTCCAACCTGAGGAGCTCATCTTCTGTCATTATATCTGACAATATTCTGGGGCTTTTCATCATGTTTCAATATTCATTATTCTACTGCTGACAGTGTTCCACTGCTATTCATAATGTTTTCAGAGACTAAATATTTGGAAATAGTCTGTCTCTCCTTCTTCCTAGTCTATCTTCCTCTGGAAGCTCAGCTGAAAACTGTTCACTGTGGGTGACACTGCTGTTATTTAAAATGCCCATGGCATATCTTCCTGAATCACAGCAACATGCAAGCCACCACGGTATGACAAACTGACAGATGAATGACATTCAGCATTTCATGGGTATCAGTTAATAAGTTTCTCCAAGGAAATGAGGAACATTGGTTAAGCAAACAACCAGTAAAAGCCAGCTAAGAGAGCTTCTACTTTATGCCCTGTGTATATTGACAATCTCATGGTAGCTCTTAAACAACATCAAGAATGTTCACTTAACAGTATTTAAATTGCTTCTATCAATCAACATTATGTCAAGCCAAGTCAGAGCTGAATTCTATGATGAACAGTTTCAATATTGGTATTTAGTATTGCTGCTTGTATTGAGAGTCTTGTGCTTCAGATATCAGAGACCCACTGCAGTGTTTTTGCTTGGTGGAGAAACATAATTTCTTCAGACATAGGCTGCAAATTTGCTTTGGGGCAGATCAAGAAATGAGAAATGAAAAATTCTTGTGGTTTGCCCAAGCCTTTTGGAAAGTACTAGAATATGATCCCAGATTTCTGTGTCACAAAGCACAAAAGTGATATTATCATTCTTAAAAATCTAACTGTCTCAGTGTTCCATCTTGTCATCACTCAGTTCTAGAGTCTAGGATGTCTACTTCTGAAAAGAAAACTCTTCATTCTTATAAAGGATGGTCCCACTAAGATATGGAGAGCAGTTGACTCAATGGTTAAGCCCTTGACTATTATATAAAAAGTCAGTGGTCTGATCCCACCAATGATTCCACTGGAGAAAGAGGTGGTAGTTCATTTCCATAAAGATTACAGCCTTGCAAACATTGTGAGGTATTTCTACTCGGTCTTATATGATTGTCATGAGTTGGAATTGAATTGATAGCAACGGAGTATTAGGGTACAGCTCAAATTACGGTTAGGTAAAGCAGTGTTCAAACTGCAGAAAGTTCTCTCCACTATTTTATGAGTTACACTTTATATGGTACAAGATATTTAGAACACACCTGTCATTTGAAAAGTTTATACAACCCAACATTGGATTTGAAATCTGAAGCATACTTATGCAGTCAAATCTATCTTCATATGACCCCTATGGAGAAACTTTGAAACACTGGGTTTGGGATTTGCTCTGACTTTTCTTATGTTAGTATTTATAGTTTGCATAGTTCATATTCTTCTTTAAAAACTATGCGTGAATAATGTAACTAATGCTTTTCATGCATCTCTTTCACTTCTGCAGGAGGGATTTTTGAAACTGTGGAAAATGAACCTGTTAATGTTGAAGAATTAGCTTTCAAGTTTGCAGTCACCAACATTAACAGAAACCGAACCCTGATGCCTAACACCACATTAACCTATGACATCCAGAGAATTAACCTTTTTGATAGTTTTGAAGCCTCACGGAGAGGTAACTATTTTCACACTTTTAAAAGCTTCTTTGGGTGATATGTCTCTTCTACAAGTCACCTTTTCGCTACTTACCCTTTTCCAAAGTGGACATCTATGTGCAAATGGGGTTGCAGGAAATCTCGGTCCTCAATGTCACTGACCAGTACAATCTGAACTTACCTAATGGATGTTGCCTAGCACTGTTTTCTGGGCCTTTCTGATTAGCTTACCCTTCAGTGCCCTCTACTCTATGATTAACTTGTTCAGCTGTGAATGGAAAATGTCAAGCTTGATCTGTTTTTCTTTCCTGAAGCTGAGATACCACTATGAAATTGTACAGTGCACTCAAATAAAACTTTCTGGAAGGTCATATCTACCTAGCATGTGGAAATACCCAGAACACATATAACTCACACAGAGAATTTTAACAGGTTGTAAACTACTGACTTTAAATAACACGGTCTCAACTTTTCATTTGTTTTTCATTTCTTTCCACAAGATGATAGAAATTTGAAAATTAAGCCTGTGAAACCAATTGCTGCATTTGTTTTTTATTTCTTCTGAATGCAAGACAAGTTGCATAAAATGTCATTTAATTTATATGCATGCTGCAAAGCTTCTCTCTGAAGAAGACTCATTTGTGATTGCAGAACTTGTGTAGATGTCCCCCAGACATTTCTAGAACAAGTCTTTCTGAAGCATAGTTGCACCCCATATAGTTGAATCTTGGTGGCTAACAATGGTACTTTTGAGCCTCTAGATGCAGGTGCTTGTGTAAAGACAAAGAGTGCTCATGACCACAGACAAAGAGGCGTCTTTGTCTCATAGGAAGGAGCCTTGGTGTCACCTGAGTTAGACGCTGGGCTACTACCCTAAAGACTTGGTTCAAACCCACTAGTTGCCCCACAGTAGAAGAACAAGACTGTCTGCTCCCAGCAAGTTTTACAGTCTTGGAAACCCTACATAGGTTGTTATGAGTCAGTATCAACTTAATGGCAGTGGTTTGTTTGATTTTTGTTTTTTAACTTCATGGTAGGAGCCTGATGATGCAGTGATTGAAGTGCTCAGTTGCTAACTGAAAGGTTGACAGTTCCAACCATCAGCAAGCCATTCCAAAGTAGAAAGATGTGACCATCTGTCTCTGAAAATATTTACAGCCTAGGAATCCCCCTGTGGCAGTTCTAGTCTGTTCAATAGGACTGCTAAGAATTGCAATCAACTCATCAGCAGTGGGTTTGGGGGTTTGGTTACCTCATAAAGGAATAGCTTGCTCATTAATATACACCAAAGAATGAAATACCATGGATGTCATAGTCATGCTGATTTCCAGGTAACTAAATATTGGTTGTTTCAATACAGAATTTATCTTGTTGTTAAGTGCTATTGAGTCCTTTATGACTCATAGCAGCCTTGTATAGGGTTTTTGAGGAACGGCTGGTGGGTTTGAACCTTCAATATTGCAGCTCAAAACAACCTTATGATCAAGTGCCTATCCTACAGCACCACACAAGGATTCCAGAATTTGCCTAGTTATATGTAAAAGATGTGCTCAAGTTTTACACCCTAACAAAAGAATCTTAATAAACAAAGGTAAAACTCCTTTTCCTAGGAACTCAGATGGAAACTATGTAAAATATCATTACTCTTTTTCTAACTACAGCACAAAATTAGTATAAGAGTGTTTTCTTTTCATAAGATAAATGAAGTTGGAGATACTGTACAGGTCAGAGTAGTCTATGAACAAATAAAAAAACTTCATGTTTATATAGCACTTAAGGGTTAGGTCTTGCTCTCACTCTCTCTTTCACACACACACACACACACACACACACTCACAATGATATTTCAGCCCACATAAAATTTAAAAAGCTTTCTTGTGAGCTAAAGTATGTGCCATACTTGTAAATTAAACACCCCAAAAGCTTCTTAAAACTGGTAATTTGGTGGCAAACAGAATTCGAAAGGATTGATTTTCTGTCAAGTAATATTAGTATCCCAGAGCTAAATATTAGCAGCAATCTCAATACATTGCTCATGCTAGAGGAAAAAGCCATTCACATACTCTCATGCCCTCATTTTTTTCTTGCCAACCAACGAAAACCTATCTAGAGAATGAACTTCTGAGGAAGATGACAATTTACCCTTAGGCACTTACTGTACATACGTTGCCATTCCTCATGTAGTCATTCAGCACAATATTAGGAAGCCTTTGTAAGTGATTGTCAGTATTTGCTGTCCCATAGATATTTAGACTATCAGCATTTCATTTACTAATTATTCTCTCTATACCAAGTCATATAAGCTATTCAATATCACTTAGGTCTGCTATTTTTATTTATAGAATGACATTATTATAAACATATTTTATTATAAATTTAGCTATTATTTAATTCTGATATTCACTTATCATATCTCAGCAAATGTAAATTTCTTTTAAAAAGTATGAAAATATAAACTTGAAAAAAATGTTTAAATGTATAGTGCCTCCCAGTATAAGATGGCACTATTTTACATTATTAAGAGGAGAAACTGTACTAGCATTTCTGGAAAGGAATTTAGTTGTATGTGTCAAGAAACTTAAAAAACAAAACAAAACAAAAACCTTTAATAATCACTGGTAATTCAAATCCTGAGGATCTTCTCTAAAAAAGTAATCTAAGATTCTGAGAAAAATAAACAAACATGCTAATATTCTGTACTATTCTATATTATACTATAATGGAACCTTGGTGTGGCACTATAGGACAAGTACTGGAATGCTAACCACAAGTCTATAGGTTCAAACCCCCAGCTGCTCCTTGAAACCCTATACAGGGTCACTATGAGTTGGAACTGACACGATGGCACTTATCAAGAACAATATTATTAATATTAGCCAATAATTTGAAGCAACTTAAATGCCCCATATCATAAACTCACCCACCCGTGCCATCAAATGAATTCTAATTCATAGTGATGTTGTATAGGGTTCCTGAGTCTACAAAACTCAACAGGAGCATAAAGCCTCATCTTTTGTTCTGTGGAGTAGCTAGTGGGTTTGAGTTGTCAACTTAGTAGTTAGCAGTCCAATTCTACAGTGCCACACCAGGTTAAATAAATGGTGACTCTGGAATGGACCATTCTACAGACACTAAAAATATATTTTTGAAGAATTTGTAATGATTTGGAAAAAAGAATATGCTATTATGTTAAATGAGGAAAAAACTTATCAAATTATACTTATACAATAATTCCAATTACTTTGTAAATCAAAACATCTAATTATTAATAGATATTATCTTATATGATAGAATTACAATGCCTTTTTCTTCTTTCTTATAATTTTAAGTATGCTGGATTCCCTTAGTGAGTATATATTATCATATAATGAGAAGAGTATATATAATAAATATTATAAATTAATTTTCAATACATAACACTTAATTTTGTTAGGCTAAATGTTGGCTGATACTGGGAAGAGAAACCTGAGCTGGGATTTCCTGAGCTCTGGTTTATATATGTCACTCTCCAGGAAACAGGATTCATTCTAACGTCTGTGAAATTAGTGGGTTGGGCCCAATGGCTTCTATGATCCCTTTAAGCAATACTTTTCCATTATTCTATTAACTTATGAACATTCCTTGTCAGTATTTCAATAACCTGGAACTCCTTTTTGAATTTTGGGAAGATAAGAGCTAGGTCACTTTGCAGTCTCCCAGAGGGTATTTCTTCTTCTGTAACCACATTATGGCCAGTCTGCCATATGACAGAACTTAATTTATATAGCATTCATTTGGCAAATCAATGACTGTGGCATAGATATGAATGCTTCTGGGTAGGACCCTACCAAGCAAGAGATTTAGACTCATCTGATTAAAAGTAATGAAATGAGACTAGAGATTTGGCCATATGATGTGTTGTTAATCAATTCTGCATTTACATCTATCAGTAGCTTAGTATCTCAGGAATATTGGAAATTGAACCAAATATATTTGTTTAATCTACAGATGAGGAACGGGAGGAAAGTTTTCAATAATGACTAAAAAGAGGAAGTGTGAATGGAAAAGTAAATTCACAGAACTCTTTCTCCTCCTTCTTTTCTTCCCTCCCTCTCTATCTACTCCTTGTCCCTGAATATCAGCATGTGACCAGTTGGCTCTTGGTGTGGCTGCTCTCTTTGGTCCTTCCCATAGTTCCTCCGTCAGTGCTGTGCAATCTATTTGCAATGCTCTTGAAGTTCCACACATACAGACCCGCTGGAAACACCCTTCGGTGGACAATAAGGACTTGTTTTACATCAACCTCTACCCGGACTATGCATCTATCAGCAGGGCAGTCCTGGACCTCGTCCTCTATTACAACTGGAGAACAGTGACCGTGGTGTATGAAGACAGCACAGGTATGGCACTGACATAGCACAGCATCTTACCTGACCTCAGCTAGTTTGAACAAAGGAAACCAAAGTGTTCTATAGGCATAAAGAACATCGGGTGTAGTGCTTGAAGCAATGATCTTTTATCCAAAGCTAATTGAAGTCCCTAGTGTGGGCATAACATGTATAGCTAACTCATATTTCTAATGGTTAGATGATCCTTTCTAATGACCATTTCATCATCTAACTTAGGGATGTTTTTAAAAAAGAAATAATCACCTTGTTGATATATGTTATAATCCAATTAAAATACTAAACATATCTTTTCATTCATCCAAGTCTGTGAAGGCTATTAAATCATAATTCTATTCCTTACACAATGCAGAAAATGTTTGAAAATTACTAAGGAGTTCAATTCCAACCTGATTAGTAGCTATGTAAAGGTTTAGAAAATATTTCAAAGTAGATTATAAAAGAGGCATCAATGACAGGTCATATCAATAAGGTTATGTCATGTAAAAAGGACTAAGAAGTTGTGGAGATGAATACTTAATAAAGTGTGCATCATTGCACTGGTTTGTTTTAGGATGAAGGAGGGATGCTGCTCAAGGTCTTCCCCTAATTAGACACTTTCTCTGACTTCTCATAACTAATCTTCCTCCTTTGAAATTTCTTTTCCTAGCGCCTTCTTTTTGCCTTCTGCTGATAGTTTCGAATAGGTCAGCGTTCAGTTCCCCTTTTCTTCTGCCAGTTACTCTTTGTTGTTGTTGTTGTTGTTAAGTGCCATTAAGTTGGTTCTGACTCATCGAGACCCTGTATAGGGTTTCCAAGGATCTACTGGTGAGTTTTAATCACATACCTTGAGGTTGAGAGCTTATCCTACTGTGCCACACCTCTGCTATCCAGAAAACTAAGTCTGTTCTGACTTATGGCAACCCCATTTATGTTAGAATATAATTTTGATCCATGGGGCTTTCAATAGCTGATCCTTCAGAAGTACATTGTCTGACATTTTTGCTGAGGTTACTCTGAGTAAACTCAAGCTGCCAACCCTCAGTATAGTAGCTGAGTGTCTAATTGATTGGACTACCCAAGGATTCCTGGCACACCTACCCTTCTAATGAAAGCCCTCCACCATCTAATTATATCCTATATGTTATAACTGTCTTCATCTTTATACACTCAGACTATAGCGTCTCTACACTCCCCATGTCCTCCCATCAACTAGCAGAATGAACAGACTATTTCTTAAAACTCTGCCCAGCTGTAGTTCTTCTCTGAGGTTAGTTCCTCACTTTGGAAGATTATCTGCATAACCCTCAAGGAAGCTCCTCTTCTTAAAAGTTGAGGTGATGATAGAGTTTAATAATAATTTGTAAGAATATTATACCACATTATATCTAAATTATCTGTTTATATGTCTTTGTTGATAGAAATTCTTTAAAAAATTAGAACTTTATGTTATTTATCTCTGTAGTTTGCTGCCTAACACTGTGCCTGAAATATAGAAAGGATTTAGTAATTACTTGTTGAAGGAATATTACTATTGATCTTCTGAATATTTGTTCTTCAAAAATAGTAGTTTCTTTCTTTAATCTGTTAAGCCAAAAACAACAATATAAAGAGTTGCTTTGGTGTTGAATCTGACTCATTTGTGTTGAATCTGACTCATTTGTGTCAGAGCCCTCCACAGAGTTTTCAGTAGATTGCCTAATGACTAATTTTTCAGTAGATCACCAGACCTTTCTTCCCAGTTGCCTCTAAGTGGACTTAAATCTCCAGCCATTCAAATAGCAGTCAAGTTTGTTAACCATATGCAAGAACCAGGGACTATCTTCAATCTATGCATTTAATAATAAGACTGAAAAAGATCAATGGGGATTATTTCTTTCAAACCTTTTAATGCTAATTCAATGTTCACTATGCCTTCACCAACCACTAGCACTTTCTGTCACCCAGGGGTTAATAGTATGTCTCTTCTATTTGGCATTAAACTCTGGTTCCATTTTATACAGTCAGATAAAGTGACTGCTATATTTGAAAGCATACATTTCTGTATTTTCTTGTACTTCATCTCATTTTAGAAAGAAGTAAAGGTAGATGATTGAAGGTATAATACACACACACAGAGACATATATTCAAAATAGTCATATTGGAAGAATAATTCATGGATAGTCATTTATTTTTTTAGATTCATCCACTTGATGTGAAGGAAGGAAACATATTATCAGATGAGCTATGCAAGCTTATTAAAAGAGATTTGAGATAGAATATTGTAAATCATTGAATGGTGTTGAAACTTCATTTCCGATTTCATTTCAGCTAAAGGTGTGGCACAATTCTCCTAGTGTGGTTGTTGTAAGATAAGTATTGGACTGCTAATCACAAAGTCGGAGATTCAAACCTACCAGCCATTCTTTGGAAAATAAACAGTCAGTATGAGTCAAAAATGACTTAAGGGCACTTAAGGAGCTCTGGTAGCATAGTGGTTACGAATCTGGCTGTGAACCTTAATGTCAGCAGTTCGAAACTACCAGTTGTTCCATGAGAGAAAGATGAGGCTTTCTGCTCCCATAAAGATTTACAGACTTGGAAACCCTGTACAGGGTCGCTATGGGTCAGAACCACCTCGACGGCACTTAACAACAATAACAACAACAACAAAGGTGTGTCATAATTCTTATAGATTATAAATTGGATTTAGACAAAATGTAACCTGATAAAGGATATAAAAAAAGATGACATTTTTTAGCCACCCTTCTGATTTCAGGTGAGCTCTGATAGCGTAGTGGTTACGAATCGGGCTGTGAACCGCAAGGTCAGGAGTTCGAAACTACCAGCTGCTCCACGGGAGAAATATGAAGTTTTCTGCCACGGTAAAGATTCGTAGCCTCGGAAACCCTGTACTGTGTCGTTATGGGTCCGGACCGACTCAACGGCACTTAACAACAACAACCATAAGTAATGGCCATTTTGTACATCAGAAAAGTCAAACTATCATTTCTATCATCTTTTACAAGTAACCAGAACGTTTCTTTATATCCTTGTGACGTTCACCTTAGCATTTGTTGTTGTTAAGCACCATCGAGTCAGTTTTGACTCATGGAGACCCGATATAGGGTTTCCTAGGAGCAGCTGGTGAGTTTGAACTGCCAACCTTATTTATGGTTAGCAGTTCAGTGCTTATCCTATATATAGCACAACACCAGGACTCCTCACCTGAGCATAGTTGCTCAATAAATAGTTGGTGAAACTGATAATCCAAAATCATTTCCTATGTTGTCCATTAAATTAGAGATGATTTCTTTGAAATAATTTTGCCCACAAAGTCATTTAAAATGTAAATGAGTAATCCATTGAGCCATTAAATTGGAAGCCAGAGAGTAAACACATCAACTGAGATCAATAAGAGTAGGTATCTTGTGACTTTGGGTTTAATACTGTTTCATTCAGGGTTTCTGGCAGCAGTGATTTCTAGCTACAAAATGGAAGAAACTTACTAAACCTGCAGGAAAAGAAAGACTTAGGTGTGCTCAACACCAGCCCCCACTCCAGTTAAGTATCCATTAAAGAGCACTTTATTGGGATTTGTTTAGGAGTTTGTTAAATAGCCTGAAGCCAGCACAGATGTCCTGGGATCAAATGGCCCATTACTCCCATTGAAGTCAATGGGAACAGCATGAAAGTCTCTGAGGATAAAATTCAATTCACTAAATACTAGCATTCAGGATTCTGTTCTCTAGATGTTAAAATGTGAAAAGAGTCTCGAGAACTCTTTTAAAAGAGTAGCGAAGCTTTGACCTAATCTCTCTATTTCTATCAGTTACATATTTCTTTCTGACTCCATCATTCAGAGGTGACCTCTGGCAACTGGATTTGCTGCCCATTGGTCATCCAGTGTGCTTCATTAGACCCCTGGTGGAATCCTGGCTTCCTTCCCTTCACACGCATCAAAAAGAGCTAAAAAGCTGAGCACCAAATGCAATTTGCAGTAAGTCAGCAGTTTCTGCTTTCTCAAGGGCAATGACAGTGAAATGTCATAATAGCCATTTCTGTAGACCAGGGTCTAGCACACTTTTCTGTACATGGTTGGATAGTAAATCGTTCAGAATTTGCAGGTCATTTAGTCTCTGTAATAACTACTTTGTCATAGTGAAAAAGTAGCTATAGATAATGTATGAAGGCCCATGTTGTTGTTAAGTGCCATCAAGCTGGTACTGACTCATAGCAACCCTCTATAGGGTTCCAAGGAACAACTGGTGGGTTCAAACTGCCTACCTTGTGGTTCACAGTCCAGTGCTTATCATACAGTACCACACCAGGTATAGTGTGTTTAAAAGTTTGATTTTTCAAGAATTATAAAAGGAAACATCAGAAAATGTTCAAATGAAGACAAGGGAAACTATACAAACAAAATAATTCCTGAAAAACAACCACACGGCATATATTCTTCTTGATAGTTGATTGATTCATTGATTGAATGGATTTCCTTGTGTTTTTTGTTTGTTTGGTTAGGTTTTTGTTTTGATTTTTGTTGTTTTGCATCCTCTTTGCTCTATAGCCATTATAGAGTCATGATCGTCTTCTGTTAAGTTATTGTGTGCCAGTGTGTATCCACTTTATAGGAAAGCGCAGAACTGCCACATAGGGTTCCCAGGACTGTAATCTTGACAGAAGTTGTTGTTGTTGTTAAGTACTATGGAGTCGGTTCCGACTCATAGTGACCCTGTACAGGGTTTCTGAGGCTGTAATCTTTACGGGAGCAGAACTCCTCATCTTTCTCCCGCGGAACTGCTGGTAGTTTCGAACTGCTGACCTTGAGGTTGGTAGCCTGACTTGTAACCACCACGCATAGACTGCCTCATATTTCTCCTTCAGAGTAGCTCATGGGTGTGTTGCCTAACATTTTGTTAGTATTTGAGTGCTTTAGCCACCATTCCATCAGGGATGCCCTTTTGATATATTGTTGCTAGTGATCTCTGTTCAGTTTCAACTCATAAGTAACGCTTTCTATACAGAGTTTCTA